TATTTATTTATTTACAATATTTTTTAGCCGCACCATTGCCAGTGGCTATATCCAATGGAGCTACATAACAGAGGATCGTATGAGGAAAATGCTAGAGCCATTTCACACATTATTGGGGGGTCAGTGTTCACTTTAAAAGAACACATCCTTAGTTTTATATAAAAGAAATATGTTGTGTGAATGTTAGAATCATACATATTGGAAATGTATTTATCCAAGTTTGGCCCTTGGATACCCTTAAGCAGAGTAAGGCAGCATATGCTAGGAGTTGGAAGCCTCTGGGGAGAACTTACGTGCCACATGTCTTGCCTGCTTGGCTAGTGGTGTCTTTGAGGATGCTCTCCCATATCCAGCACTTAAGAATAATCAAGTGCCAGGCTGGTCAGCATCTGTACATGATCCTCAAGGGGGCACTATCTTCTTCTTTACTGATTCTGCATGTATTGCACACGTATAAAGCAAAGCAAAGCAAAGCAAAGCATGCTGCTTATATACCACCCCATAGCACTTAAAACGCTCTCTGGGTGGTTTACAATTTAATTATGCAGGCTACACATTGCCAACCCACCCCACCCCAGCAAGGTGGGTACTCATTTTACCAACCTCGGAAGGATGGAAGGCAGAGAGAACCTCAAGCCAGCAACCTGGGATTGAACCCAGGTTGTAAGCAGGGTTTGGGCTGCAGTACTACAGTTTAACCACTATGCCATGAGGCTACACATGTACTTATCAGGAAGTAAGCAAGGGACGTGGTGGCGCTGCGGCTTAAACCGCAGAAGCCTCTGTGCTGCAAGGTCAGAAGACCTGCAGTCGTAAGATCGAATCCATGTGAAAGAGTGAGCCCCTGTCGTTTGTCCCAGCTCCCGCCAACCTAGCGGTTCAAAAGCATGCAAAATGCAAAATGCGAGTAGATAAATAGGTACCACCATGGCGGGAAGGTAATAGCGTTCCGTGTCTAGTTGCTCTGGCCATGTGACCACGGAAGATTGTCTTCAGACAAACACTAGCTCTATGGGTTGGAAATGGAGATGCGCACCACCCCCTAGAGTCGGACACAACTGGACAAATTGTCAAGAGGAACCTTTACCTTTACTAAGCACTGGCTGCAGCTGCTATGTGAGTGGTGTTGTTATATAGTTTAGTCACAAAGTGGCACTAGACTTAGTTGTATCTGGGTGGAGGCAGGTGTTTCCTGCATTTCTATTCTGTTCTATTTTCTATTCTGGTTTTAGACATAGCCTTCTTTTCTTGTGTGCTGACTGTTGTGTCCTGTAAGCCTTCCATGGCACCTGCTTGTTGAGTTATGCCTGGCAGCCAGTCTAGCTTTGGTGCCACATAATGTTTGGGATTCCCAATAAGTTAAAAAGAGAAATGCAAAACATAAAACTAGACATCAGTGAGATGGGCTTTGTTAAGGAAATGGTGCCCATAGCATTTTCTAGATGTATGCCTAAGATTTTCTACAGGTACTGTACATCTAAAAATATGAAGTGCCAGTGTGGCAAAAATGTGTTTGCAGGTGTGGTGTGTCACAAAGGAACGCTCGTTAGGGAGCTGTGATTTGCTGCAGCTGTTTATCTTCAGTGTCAGATCCATGCTTGCTTCTTCTTAATATAAGAAATTACATTTATGAAAAAAAAGGAATTCTTTTTAATAATGTCTTGGTTAGATGCACAAAACATAGGAAAATGTATATAAATTTCTTTGAAGATATTAGTAAGCTAATAATATGTTTGCCAGTTTCAGCTGTTTCCCCCCCTGCAGTTCATTCAAGGACAACTAAATAAGTGATAGGCAGAGAGAGACTGACCTTGAGGAAAACATCATACTCCTCCTTTTCGATTGATGACTTTATCTGGGATTTTGTGTTTGAGCCATAGGAACATTCTGATAATTACCTCAAAACAATAAGACAGCAAATAACCCTCATATGCAAGGAGGGATGGAAACGCCGGTCATTTCTGGATGTGTTTGAAAACAAGAAGGACAAAATTTAACAGAGTGTAGGTTAAACTTAAAGTTAATTGTGTAGAGTATGGTTGGGCAATTCCACTTATTACTAGACCTCACAATTGGCTTCTGCCAGTTGAGGCTGGAAGCTGGCTGGATAGCTCAGTGAATTAGTTGGCAGTTCAGTTCCTCACTGAGCATACCAGAAAAGCCAGCCTATGTGGCCTTAAACAAGCTGCATAGTTCCAGGGCACCCCAGAAGAAGGGATGCTAAACCACTTGTGAATACTATATTTAGACACACTGAAAAGAGTTGCCATAAGTCAGAATTGACTTGACAGCATGCAAGGAGGAGCTGATGCTGATGGATATTGTAGTTCACTAGCACCCCAGGAGTCTTAAGTTGTTCATCCTGGTGTAGAGACTACCACAAACAGAAGGTCTTCTGTTACATTCTCAAAAGCTTGCAGTGTATCTGGGCTGAGATAGAGATATCATTAATTACCCTTGCTACAGGTAGCTGTAGGAGGGACGTGGTGGCGCTGTGGGTTAAACCACAGAAGCCTCTGTACTGCAAGGTCAGAAGACCAGCCATCGTAAGATCAAATCCACGCGATGGAGTGAGCTCCCATTGCTTGTCCCAGCTCTGCCAACCTAGCAGTTCGAAAGCATGCAAATGCAAGTAGATAAATAGGTACCACCATGGTGCAAAGGTAACGGTGTTCTGTGTCTAGTCGCGCTGGCCACGTGACCACGGAAACTGTCTACAGACAAAACACTGGCTCTGCGGCTTGGAAACAGGGATGAGCACCGTTCCCTAGAGCTGGACACGACTGGACTGAATGTCAAGGAGAACCTTTACCTTTACCTACAGCTTGTACATAGGTGCTATTTAAATCTTTTAGGTTCTATTTAATTATTTTTAATTTTAATTTCTAATATTTAATTTTAAATTTTATTTAAAGCAGAGAAATACACTACAGTACAATACTAAGAATGCAAACTAAAATTTTAAAAACTTAATAAACAAAAAAGAAATTGAACTATATAGTAACAGAAAACAGTCCGCTCATGCACTTGGGACCATTAGAAAAATGGTCATTTACTATGTCATTTACTAATTTAGGAAGCCCCACTCCCCTTCCAAAACTGCATTGAATTTCATTAAGATACAGAACTCTTCTCCCTTTTATTAATACATATTCAATAAAATGTCTCCATATGTCATTAAAATTATTCTTACTTGTCAACCCTCTTTCATCTTAATATCATAAGTTAGCTTATTATTAATAGTTACATTCCAATTTTCTTTATACTAATCCCTTGAAATTCATATTTGACTTTCCAATTCTTTGCTATTGTTAATCTTGCAGCTGCTAATAAATCTGTTATTAAATTGTTTTTAACCATCCATCCCCATTGTTCTGTATCAGTTATTGATAACAATCCTGTTTTGGAGTTTTCTTTTACATTTAACTTTGCTATTTCATGAACTATTTTTTAATTCTTACTTTATATAAAATACTCCAGCTTGCATAATTCCCTTTTATAGAACAATTCTGACCCCTTACCCCCAATATGTTGTGTTTTCCACTCCTTAAGCTTCAGAGCTGCCATGTCCCAACACAGATTCACAGAGTTCTGCATCATTCATCATGTCCTTCTTTTCCTTGACAGATATTAATGAGTGTGAAGATTCTAACACTTACTGCCTGGGGGGTGAGTGCTTGAACACACCAGGATCTTACACATGCCAATGCCGGCCTGGATTTGAGCTGTACAATGGAACTATGTGTGAAGGTAAGATACTTATTATTTCTAGGATGAGTCTACACATATCTGATGAAGCTATACTTTCATATTTAATGTGAAACAATTAATGTGGTGCTGATGGAGAAAGCATATTTTCTTGGGAGGAGTCCTGTTTTTCCCCCTGTGCATGTAGCACAACCCAGGTTTGCTGGTGTTCAAAGTAAATAATTAGTCACATTCAAATGAAGGGATAAAGGGAGCAGTGTTCCTTGCACAGTCTTGGGGAGGCAGGGGGGCTCCCTTACTTTCCATGTTTGTGATCAAACCTTTATGAGAACATACTGAATATTCATCAAAATGTACATTTGTTCCCACCCATTTGAAACCACCCTTCCAGACCTTACTGCCTCCCAAATATACGAGTATTGGACTATAGCTCATATCACTCCTTGTTGGGACAGCATTTTGGCCATACTAGATGGCGATAAGGGTGTTGTAGTCCAACATATATGGACCAAGGTGAGGACGATTTGATTTAAGCAATGCTTCCCAACCACTCCCACCCTTCTGTGAATAAGTTTCAGCAACAGATTTGTCTGCTATGGACCACATGGAGACGCTCCGAGATAGTCATACAGCCTGATCCCATCTCTTGTGCTTTAAGAAAGGCTTTGAGACACACATTCAATTTCATATGCCTGTGACAATTGCCAGAGGAATTTACCTTCAGTGTATCTTCCCCTTGCCTCTCCCGCTTCCTTTTTAAATTTTCCTCATGTGATCATTTATCAGGTTATCAAATGCAGCTCCTCTCCTTCCCAACATGCCTAATTTAAATAAAATAAAATAAAAGAAAAACCACTTTTTAAAAAATCAACAGGTTCCCTTGGGGTATCGGGGGCAACATCACCAAGGAAGTGACTTGGAATAGCACTTTGTTGTTATGTGATGTCAGGTTGCTTCCAGTTTAAGGAACACGGGTGGGAGGAATGTGCAGGTGCTAGGGAGCAGGAGAGAGGGACATTTTCAGTTTAAACAGAAGAAGTGTGGAGAGGATGGTAGGTTCCGTCTTCCATGGTGCAGAAGTGGACATCTGAAGCCCCCTATAGCTCTGGGGGCTTGCACAGCCTTTGGTACATCAAATGACATGGTGGTGGTCATGAATATTTTTAATATATAGATATATAAAGGAGGTAAATTTTCAAAAGAACAGACATCTTAATTTTTTTGCTGCAAGTACAACAAAAGGCCCCGGAGTGCCATGAAGACTAACAAATAGCCATGCTGGCTGGGAAGTTTTTTAAAAAACTTGTCCATGCTCTTAGTTAGCAAGTGCAAAATCTGCCAGACCTGGAGTATGAGTTTATAGAAGATCCTCTTGATTAAGAGGATTTCCCATACAGTATTGTCCCTGTTCTGTTTTAATTCTTGCAATTTCCTTCTCTATGGTGTCTCGTCCAGACCCTGTAACCACGAGTAGCATAATATTTAGAATGTAAGGAGCTGTTCTGGTGGATGTGGGGATGTTTTGCTCTTTTTAATAGTCTTTTTTAAAGGGTCAACAAAGAAGTCTGATAATTCATGCTAGACAGCACACATTCTGAACCAGTTGATCCCAACCTTCTTTTCCTTCTGGCAGATGTGAATGAGTGTCTGGACAGTGGCATCTGCAGCCCCAATGGCGAATGCCTGAACAGCCATGGATCTTATTTCTGTATTTGTGCTCTTGGCTTCTCAAATGCAGCTGGTGGAGTCAGCTGCCAAGGTGAGATCCTACATCAGTGTATCTAACCTTTTGCAATACCCTTTTATAATAGTCAAGTAACCTGTGACACACACACTCTCACACACAGAGAGAGAGAGAGCATTTGCATAAAAAGGCATTTTAATAAGGTAAAGAAAACACATTAAAAAGATTTCTTTATAATATAATTCTAATGCAAGATATTAATACTAATGTAATAATACATATTTTGGGGGGGGACTGTAAATCTGCCCCTATAAAAGTCGAGGAGGAAAGAAGGTCAATACATACTGAGTTTAATTTACTTATTTGGGTGTGGAAATGACCTTCCCCTTATATCTCCTCTCCACAAAAAAAACCCTAAGTGAAGAGCCCCTCCCCCTTCAAGCCCAAATAAACACCTCACCCCATGCCCCCCAGTGTCCCCGCTCCTTGGTTCTCCTCCCTCAATTTCTTGCCTTCCTCCTCCATGACTCAAGTGGGGTCTGGAGGCATCTCCCTACCCAAGTCCCCTGTCCCTTCGCTGTTCCGCCATTGCCGCATCTGGAAGACTGGAGACTCTGACAGAGAGAAAGCTGCCATTGCTGTGGCAGCAACTTTTCAATCCTGCTGCCATCTTGGACATCAGCATTCCCAGCATACACTGTGGTGACCCCCAGCCGCAGAAAGCACTTTGCAATCTCTGTGGAGGTCACAATCCCATATTGGGGACCCATGTCCTAGACAGAGGTGGTCAACTTTCAACTGCCAGTTCTTCCCCCCTCAGAGTACTTAGAAGGGTCCATTCCCCATTTGACATCCCATACCTCAAATACCTGTAAAACATTTTAGACCCCAAAATATAAAAGGCTCATGAGGATAGAGAGCTTCAACTGTGAGAGAACAGAACTTATTCCAATTAGGATCAAATTAACTCACTTTGAACCCGGGGCAGCTCACTAAATCAGCAATGGACCAACTTTTTCTACTTTTGCAACAATAAAAACAAAAACAAAAATGCTGAGACACCTTTAAGACCAACAAATATATTTCAGTTTGAGCTTTTGTGGACTACAATCCTATTCTTCAGAACCCTAACTTGTTAACATTTAAATCTCGGTTTCTTACTTAAGCCTCATGTACAAGAATGGCCTTTAGAGGATTGTAATGTCTCACTGGCTGAAATCCAGTAGTAAGTTGCATCTAGAGTAGGCCTATTGAATCAATGAAACTTGGAGAAGTGGACTCACCAAAACTCCACTGATTCAATGGGTCTACTCTTGTAGTACCTTACTGCTAGATTTCAGCTACTGAAATATATTTGCTTCCTAGTCTTAAAGATGCCAATGTTTCTGCTCTTTTATATATAAATACACAAACACTGCTACCTCTTTAATAACTTCCCCTATTTCTGTCTTTAGTCTTCTGACTTTTCACTTTGACCTTATTTTAGGTTATTTTGAAGCTGTTTTAAAAATGCCTTTGTCCTGGTTTATATTCTCCTCTCCAGATGTAGACGAGTGTGCAGATCAGTCCAGGTGTCTACGTGGCCAGTGCCTCAATACAGAAGGATCTTACAGATGTTTGTGTCAAACTGGCTTCAGACATTCCCAGGATACCGATGACTGTATAGGTGAGACCTGACCTCTGGAAAAGGAGGAAAGATTACAAATCAGAGCTACGTATAGTAGACAGAATGTTAAAGGTGTCCTTTTAATGCCTGTATATTCAAACATGCACATAATAACCACAGGGCTGCAGTGTGTGTATATGTGTGTGTGTTGATAATTTTCAGTACAACAGGCAGTTAACCCTTTCTATTCATACTCAACTCCAGACAAAAATTACTCCTCTGAAGCTCCTAGGTGTGGGAAGAAAATCCCCCATCAAGACCAACGGGAGATTTCCTCCTAATCAAATAATAGTTTTAAATTAGTGGTGGCTGTTATATATTATATACTTTGTTGTAATTTGATATATGCAGAGCATCCCTGCCTCCAGCATCTGGGGGAAATCCTCCTTATATTTCTGACAGTGGTTAAGCTGCAGTACTGCAGCCCAAACTCTGCTCATGACCAGGGTTCAATCCCAGTAACTGGCTTGAGGTTCACTCAGCCTTCCATCCTTCTGAGGCTGGTGAATTTAGTACCCACTTACCTCACAGGGCATTGTGTAGCCTTCAAAATTAAGTTGTAAACCACTCAAGAATGCTTTAAGTGCTATGGGGAAGCATATAAGCAGCACACTTTGTTTTTTGCTTTGCTTTTATTCACAAGCCTTCAGATGTCAGTCATTATTGGTTGTTTCAGCTGTCATGGGAATGATGGCACTCCAAATTCCCTAAGCTCATACTCCTGAGCTTCTGTATATGCCTAGAATCGGGGGGAATGTGTCTTGTGTCAGTGGCAGTGTGTTGTATATGCTTCATGAGAGGGAGAGGAGTAGGACTTCACTCAGGGTTGTACTGTACTTGGTTTCGGGTTTTTTTTCCATGCTCCATTTATCTCCCATGACCCATGGATGTGGCATCCATTGTTACCTTTTTCTTGTTCTCTTTCTTCTTTTTCAAAACCCCTTGTCTTGGATGACAGACATGGACGAGTGTGAAGAATATGGTGATGCAGTTTGTGGCTCATGGCAATGCCAGAACACATTGGGTTCATACCGCTGTATTATGGGATGTCCAGCTGGCTTCCATAGGACACCGTTCGGTGAATGCATTGGTGGGTTCCATACTTGGAAAAACTCAGAGCTCTTTTAAAGTAAGGAACAAGCTTCTGTTAAGGAAGCCTTCAGCTGAGAATGGAGGCAAAACGTTTCTCCGATACAGAGAGAAAAGCATACATACACTCTTACTCTGTCCTATCTGTTTAGACTCCTTTCTTCTTTTGAAAACAGAAACTACCCTGTTCCTCTTTTCCTCTTAGGCAGGTTATTAAGGAGGCAAATGTTCCATGCTCAAGATAAGACATTGAACTACTAAGATCCTTCAACAGAAAAGCCCCTTCTAAATTTATTGTCTGACAAATTTTTTCTGTCTCCCTGTCCGTTGTTCCTAGACTGCATATAACAAAACATGGGAGCAATGTTAGAGACGCTGGACTGCTGTGCTTTAGCAGCTGTGAAAGTGGAAGAGGCAGCTGTGAAATAGGAAACATAAACAGAAGACTAGTATTGGAGTTAGCACTTTTTCAGTGTGCTAAGCTCCAACAGGTTAGTGCCTTGGGCACTTCAAAATACAGATGCATTAGATACGTGAGAATTTTCTGCACCATTATCAGGTGTTAGCAATAGATAGCTTCAGGAGTTCTTTATGAAATTAAATCTCTAGCTGCAGCTGCCATCAGAGATTACCATTAGCTATTTTAGCTGGGACTGATGGTACCTGCAGTCCAGTAACATATACAGGTAGACACATTCTCCCCGTGTCTGCTTCAGGGATGAGTAAATTGCCAGATTCTTTTACCTTAACTCAGGGGTTCCCAAACTGTGCCCTGCAGCTCTGCAGAGCACCCACGAACCAAGTCAGGAGTGCCATGGAAAAGGGACAGAACATAGAGCTATGAAGGCATTAGAGGAGCTGTTCATAGCTCTATGTCAAACAGGATCCAGAAATGGAAGCTGTGTGTCTGCCTCTCCTTTCCTCATCTCTATGGTCCCCAATGGAGATACTTGCTGGGTGTTCCAGGACCTGGAAAGAGGTGGGCCCTTGGGAATATTTGGGTGGTGGGAGAGATGGGATGGCTGGGGATGGGTGTCAAGATCCTTCCCGTGGTAGCAGTGAGACCCCTGATGGCCCCTTTGAGCAAGGGGAGCCGCAGCCAATGGTCAGTAAGTCAAGAGAGCCATGAGTCCAGAGGGTTTGGAGACAACTCACTGCCTTTACTCTAAGGATGGGTATTGTTACAGGGTGTGGTCTGCTCTAAAGAAACTCCATACTGAATACTCTATGGAGATTTCTGAGATGTGTTGATGTTTGCCCATCCTTAAACAATCTTCCTTCTTTTCTGAATCCTTGCCCCATAAAACAATCTGGGGTTGATCAGTCCTCTTGACTGCGTACTTTGTTTTCTTCTGCACCATTTTCCTTTCCTCTCCTCTGTATTAGCCGTCTCAGAGCATTTCAGATGAGGTCTATATTATGCCACTGCCCTGTCTCATTCACTGAATTGGAGGTAGGGAACTCGTCATACAACATCACTCTGCAGTTACAATTCTCCCTTGTTTTTTTCACTGCCCCAGAAACATGTTAAGAGATGAAGGATCTGCAAAGTGCCTCAGCCTGAGCTGCCCTCAGATAATCATGTTTGTTCAAAATGGATCCAAGGAATTCTTCCCTATTCTTGTGCAGACTTTTGACAAGACATAGAGATGTCAGTGTGAGCCCTCTTACAAAAGGCATAAAATAGCTAACATACAGGAACAGGGCAGGATTTGTCTTGTTTTGAAATATATGATTTAACTTGCCCATTTGTCTTGCAGATATTGATGAATGTGCCAATGAAACGCTGTGCAGAAGTCATGCTTTTTGTGACAACACGGATGGCTCCTTCCGCTGTGTATGTGACCGTGGCTATGAAAACTCACCTTCAGGCCATGACTGTGTTGGTAAGAAGCCACTCAACATCTGTAGGGCTGCATTACTTTCTTGTTCAGAAACTGACAGTCATACAATCTCTGCATCCATGACCCCTTTGAGCTTCAGAGAGATCTCTTTGTAACTGTTTTCTGATTTTTCTTAATTCTGCTATTATAAACATGCCACCTACCCTTGATCATCCCCAATAGTATTCATCTTACACTGCAGGGATAAGATGAATCTCCAGGACAGGGTTATTTTCTAAAGGGCTAATTAGACATGATGGGAGCAAATACGCCTACATAGATATAAAGTAAGGGAGTGGAAGGCAGTTTCAGGCAAAAGGAGGGCAGCCAGGAGAGGGATGCTGAATCACAGACCTCAAAGGAACTTTAGAGGTCTGCTGATCCAAGCATTTATCAAAGCAGGGAATCCACTACAGTAGCATCCTGTAATAAATAGCCATACAACACCTTCTGAAGATATCTCTTAACAAAAGAGAGCCCACCATCTGTTGAAGCAGTCAGATCAATAAAGGTCTGTGGAGCATCGGGATGTTCTTCCTAATGTTTAGTCTAATTCATCCACTTTGTAAAATAAGCCCAAGGGCTTGAGCCCTATATGTTCCTCCATATGTGTTGACTCTTTAAAATTTGGAAAATATCTGTTAACACTTTCGGATTCTTAGGCCTTTTTCTGTGCTTCCCTTCCCTGAGGCTGCTTTGTTGCTAAAGCAGCATATTTCTGTACTCAGTTAGAGCCCAGCCAGGGGAAGGTGTGGCTGCTGCAACCCGTGCTCCCAAGCACAGGTCTGTGCCATTTCTCCAAGAAAATCAAATGGAGGAGCCAGCTGCTTATGTCAGAGGAAGAGGTATTAGATGAGGGAGGCATGAATCTCCTGTGGAATGGGAAGATCTCGAATACTGACGGAGTGAATTATGTGCTCTGCAGATGTGAATGAATGTGAGCTGATGGTGGCTGTGTGCGGGACTGCCCTTTGTGAGAACGTGGAAGGGGCCTTCCTCTGCCTGTGTCCCAGTGACCACGAGGAGTACGACACAGAAGCCGGGGAGTGCCGTCCCCGAGCAGGCATGGGTAAGAGTTCACTGTGCAAAACGGTGAAAGACAGAATTTGAGGTGCTATTCCAGCATCAAAAAGTGACACTTTTTTTCTTCTGGAGTTGGGGGCAGGTGTCTGTGTAAAAAGAAACAGTACCGTAGATTCTTAACATTTAACTGTGGGTTTCTTACTTCATCCTCATGTACAAGAGTGGTCTGCTTCTCCAACAAATTCAGAGAGCCCTTTGTTGAAATTCAGTCATAAGCAGAACATTTTCCACACAACTTCACTTCTTAATATATTTCTACATGGTATTTGACCATTTGTCTTCTTGCTCATTGAAAAAAGACAGTCAGGAACAATTCCTACATGAGAAGGCATAGTTTTAAATCTTGTGCAGACACTGATTTAAAACTAGAGCTCTTAAGGCAGAGATGGAAAACCTGGGTCCAGCCCAGCCCTCTGCATTTCCCAGACAGCCACAGCCCCCTGCTCATAAAAACCATTATTCTGTAGTACCCAGCTTTTGTATATGTTTTTTTCCTTTTCTAAAATAATATTTTTTAAAAGGCTTAGGGGTCTTCCAGATGGAACATTTGTTCCCTTTTTTTGGTAATGGGTTTTGCACTGATCTTACCAGAAATTTCCAAGCAATACTGATGGAGTTCATTAGCTCACTTGGTATCTCCACACACATGCACACACCCCGTAAGTCCCTGCACATTTTTCTCTCTCCTCTACCCTTTAGTTTATTTGTTATACCATTTTGTATCAGAGGAGGAGTTTAGCACTATGGCAGTGTGAGGGTCCATGTTGGGAGTCAGGCTGCTTCTCCTCCTGTTGGGGTCCCACATCTTCAGATACAGACACAGACTCCAGCTCCAATGTTTTAACGTTTATTTTAGAAACATCAATAAAACTGTTTATATCAATTTGAACATCTTCTCTCTCCTTTTCTACCAATGGGGATGAAAAGGGTTTCCAATCGTCTTTAACAAATGGGTTCCTGTAACTAAGGTTTCAAGGTCCCGGTTGCTCTGACAGCAGCCAGCCCTTCACTGTCATCCCCATCATTGGTGGAAACAGGGGCAGTTCTCCCAGGTATTCTTCCCACTGTTTTCTATCCCTGGGTTCCATAAACTCCCAGCTTCCCAAAGCCCTCGTCTCCTCCTCATCTCTTGCGCTCGCCATTCTGCCCATTCTCCCCCTTTTTTGTTCTACTGTCTCCTTCTCTTCCCTCAGTCTCCACTATTGGGTTTCAGCCTCTCTCCAGTATGATGTTTGTGGTTCTACTCTCTCCTTCTCTTCCCTCAGTCTCCACTCTTCGGTTTCAGCCTCTCTCCAGCATGATGTTTGTGGGGGTGGTGGTGGAGGAAAGACAACTCTCCACCTGTGGTCAGTTTCTTCTATCGGCACCATCAGTCTCTCCCATCTATGGGTCCAGGGATTTTCTAACCAAATCCATTCCCATCCCGGTGCTAGGTTTTTCTCCCTTCTCCTGCCTCTACTCCCATTACTTCCCCCTCACTTGTCCTTTTCCCCCTTTCCTCCTCCTCTGATGGGTCCCTCTCTTCATCCTCCTCTAGAAGCAGTCTCTGGGAGAGCTGTCTCTCCTGAGCTGGTTTCTCTCTTCCCTTCCTCTGATGGAATCGATGGTATTTTGGTGAGAGGAGTCTCTATCTTGCCTCCTTGCGCAGTCTCTGGGAGAGCTGTCTCTCCTGAGTTGGTTTTTCTCTTCCCTTCCTCTGATGGAATCAATGGTTTTTTGGTGAGAGGAGTCTCCATCTTGCCTCCTTGCTCACAGGTAAACATTAATCTATTGGAGCTGTGTACAGACCAAATAAAGGACCAAAAAATTCTAATAGAGACCAAAAATTGACATCCCCCTGAAGACGGCCTTAAATTCAGGCCAAAACATGTTGGGCAATTTTAAATTGAAATAAAGGATGAGTACTAATGAATCTGCAAGCAATGACCACTCCCTTCCTATACATATTTCTCAATATTACAGTCTCTGGTGTCATTGTCTTGAAATCAGTCAGAATTGTGTTGGTTACTGGTCGGGCTTTCACTGTGTGCTGCTAGTTCTCTGAAATGTTGGGAGAGTGGAGGCTGCTGCCAGACTGTAACACAGTAGTGAAAGTAGGGGGAAGGCTAGAATTGTGGTAACTCCATCCTCCATTAATGTTGGAGCTCAGCCCCAGGCAGACACCTAAGTCTGCAGAAGCTACTTTTTGTCTCTAGCAGCTTAGCAAGCACAGCTCATCCTCCTATAGCATAAAACAGGGATATATTTCTATCAGAATATGGGACCTGGTAAATCCAACCTGGTCTCTTGTGGGGGGCATTTTCAAAGTCTGTGAGCAGCAACAGAGAAGGCCCTCTCCTGTGTCCCCCATCAGATGCACCTATGAAGGTGGGGGGACTGAGAGAATGTCTTCTCCTGATGTTCTTAAAACTTGAGCCCCTCCTATAGCATAAAACAGGGATATATTTCTATCAGAATATGGGACCTGGTAAATCCAACCTGGTCTCTTGTGGGGGGCATTTTCAAAGTCTGTGAGCAGCAACAGAGAAGGCCCTCTCCTGTGTCCCCCATCAGATGCACCTATGAAGGTGGGGGGACTGAGAGAATGTCTTCTCCTGATGTTCTTAAAACTTGAGCCAGCTCATAACATCAGATGCACCTGTGAAGGTGGGGGGGACTGAGAGAATGTCTTCACCTGATGTTCTTAAAACTTGAGCCAGCTCATAAAGGGAGATGGAGTCCCTGAGATAGCTTGGTCCCAAGGCCTTTAGAGCTTTATAGCATAGAACCAACACCCTGAATTCAGCCTGGAAACAGACTGGCAACAAGTTGAGCTGCTGTAACTGGGGAGTTCTGTGATCTGACATAGTCATATTCCATATTGAATACATCTGTCCATCCATCCATCCACCGATCTGACATAGTCATATTCCATATTGAATTCATCTGTCTGTCCATCCATCCATCCATCAATTTATTTATTTAACTTATATGCCACCCATACTACCCAAAGGTTTCTGGGCAGCTTATAATAGTTTAAATACAGTAAAAAGATAAAACATTTAAAATATAATTATAAATACGTTGCTCTAAAAATTGCCATCAGGACCCACAGTTGATATACAGTATTTCAATTATAAAATCATGAGAGTACTGGGAAAGAGATTGATTTTTCCCAGTACAGAATTTAATGTTCTGGTTGTACTAGCAACAACAACAACAAAAAATCCTGGGAAAGTTGCTGGGATATGGGAAAAGCACACTTTTCACTGGGATGTGAAGTGCTAATGCCTAGGAGGCCACAATCTGCCAAATTGTCTTTATCAGTCAAGAATCTCTAGAAACTTTCCCATAATTCCAGAGATCTACCGATATCTCCAAGCAAAATGTTACCTGCAGTGGTCAGAGGGGAGGGACTTCACAACTTAATTTTCTCTCTAATCTCAGGGGAACCTGGAAGGCCTGTATCTTTCCATCCTGGCAGCTCAGAGCGGAAGGAGTGCTACTATCGAATTAATGACATCCCATTATGTGACAGTGTGTTGGCCAACAACACCACCAAGGAAGAATGCTGCTGCACCGAAGGAGTAGCCTGGGGAGACAACTGTGAAACATATCCATGCCCTGTCAGTGGCTCAGGTAGACCACATTGCTCTGTTAATAGTTAATTCCTGGGTAGATCTAGAGAGGGGTGGGTGGGGTGGGTGGGGAAAAATTCCTGCTTGCTTTGTCCCAGTTGTGTGCTGTAATAACCTAGTTCCTCTTTTTGTCTCTCTCTATTCTGTTGTTTTCCTTCCTCTTCTCTGTTTCTGCCAGTGGAATATATTGAGATTTGCCCTAGTGGGAAAGGCTATATCCCAGTGGAAGGCACACTTATCTTTGGACAGACATCTTACACAGGTATATCTTCTCCTTCTGCCAACTCTGCCAAGTATCTGAAGACCAAAGGAGACACAGTGTGGAAGATCCATAACCAGAATGCTTAATATTCTTTTTGTGGCTTAAAAATAACTCCTGCGACAGGGGAACTGCTGCAGTAGAGAGTCACTATTTTCTCTATCCTTCTACCATTTCCTCTATGCAAACCACAGTTCTTCCAGAAGCTATGAATACCGTAGCTATGGAAGACAGGCAGGGAAACAGATACAAGTGTCAGCTTGTAAGACTCTGTGAGCACTATATTTTAGTGGGGACGGAGTTTATTAAATGGCTGGCTGGCTAGTTGTTTGTTTCATTTTGTTAACACATTTTAAAAAGAAGGTTTAGAGAGCATTACCACCGGTAGATTTAAGATTAACCCTCTATACATTTCATGATAAACACATTGTCAGAGTGAGAAATCTTGCCAGGAAAGAATAACTGATCCGTCTGTAGTCCCTTGGGCCTAGGAATGCAGTTTCTCTTGAGTTCTTCAGTGAGCCTGGGGAAAGGAGCATGGAATAAAAGAAATAGGATTCAATTGAAATATTAGGTATGTGAGTTCAGAAGCAAAGTATATGGCCAGAAGTGATAGTAAAATAGAGATCAAGTTTCTTCCAAGTCCTGTAGTAAAGCATCAGGGCAAAAACTGATGGCAATGCAATTATTAGTTAATAAAACATTATTCTTTCAAAGAGGTATTTTTCAAAGTGGCTGTATTTGCATAGTCAACATGGAAAGAAGTTTACTCTCTTGATAATGCAGCTTCGAAACCTAATTGGAGAGATAATGAAATATCCATTACTTCTTAAAATTATTCTGCTTCTGATTGCAAAGGTTCCCATCTCCCCTGTTTCTGCCCTTGGATTTAGCTGGAAATCCTGGGAGAGCAGGAGTGGCAGGTCACACCTTTACTGTTTCATTATCTCTTCATAAAATGTGCATGCATTTAAGGTTCCCACTAAAAAGTAGCTAATTCACTCAAGCATATGAATATTATAAACATGCAGTTTAGTGGGTGTAAGATTTTGAGTATTACAATCTTTCTCATACCCTAATATCTATCTGCCATCTAGGTAAGAAAGACAGTTTCTAAAATAGAAGAATAATTTTAAATTTTGGTATGTTATTCCCAAATTTGCATAAAGGGAATCCTATAAGCTTTCTAGTTAAAATCAGCATAAAGATGCTTCCTCATTTGTGACTTCAAATGTTACCTTGTCGTTGCTCAACCTTGAGTTGGATACAGTTCTGTATTTTAAGAAAAGTTTAAATGAATTCTTTAATTTCTGTAAATTCATTTTGCTATTTAGATACTATTATGCAGATACTTTCGTGCATAAATACCCTGTCTGTAAAAGCAGGCTAAACGTGTTTTAAAGACTAATTAAGAAATCTCTACACAGGGATACAGTATAAGCAAATTACCCTGGTGTTAAAATGGTGCTGATTGAAAAGAAAGTCCCATCATTTTTAGTTAAGTGTTAAGTTTGCTCTAAAACATTGTTTGCATAAGCAAGAATATCCCAACAATTCAAAAATGTTTGTGTGTGTTATAGATGAAAAGGCACTTCAGTGCAAATTAAGAGCGTGGTGGTTGTTTTTAAATAAACACACTGCTAAAATGTGCCAGTAGGAAAGATAATGGTGAAAGTGTGCCAAAATTATGTGACAATAGATTTATCCACCTAATATGTCACTGCACACTTCAGTTATTGTGGTAACTGATGGGAAAATAAGATCAGCATATCTGGAAGTTACACTGCTTTTCCATTCTTTTCCCCAAACTGGATTTTCTGCAGTCTGAAATGAGCCAGAAGCATTATGGTGATTTACAGAAAACAACAATGTGATGATAAGGTTTTATAAATGCCCTGTAAGAAAAAACCTATTACTTATTGTAATAGCATCTCAACAATTTATTAATAAGCATCATTAGGTATTGACTAAAAGGCTTGAAAATGTAAGTCTTACTAACTGCACTTAGAGGTAGTAACAAATATCATCTATTTATGTATCAAACTCTTAGTGGTATATTTGTTTTCTCCTCCCAGAAAAAGCCTTCTCTGGGGGATTTATAGCAGGCATGCTCTAAGTTTCAGTTAAATATGTTTAATTTCTTTTGCCATGACCAGTAGCTCAAATAAATACACAAAATGACCAGAAAACTACTAATTCTGCCCATGCATATGTGGCAGGATATGCAGTAATTTAGATGGCTTTGTACTTCACTCAGGGCAATGATGAGGCACAGCACACCTGCCCAGAGCCTGGGAAAATGCTGGGCATGCAGATGAGATTCTGGGGATTTCCAAATTCTAGGCCTGACTTTCCCCACATGAAAAGACGTGCTTGAATCCATCCAAGAAGCCTCTGCAATGGGCAGGAACCCTGTAAACAGGCACAGAATTATAAGGTGGTATTGAAAGATTTCCCTGGAGATGAAGTTTCAGAAGTTTCAGAAATCACTATTTGTTTTATTTATTTATTTTAAATATAATTACAGTCCCTTTCCCCTTAAAAAGGACCCGAGGCAGATTACGCAATTAAAAGCACAATATTAAAAGCTAAAAACGGTAAATTATTCAAATATTACAGAACATTATATTACAAATGTTACGTAAAAGCATTAAAACAAAACAGATTTAGAAGCAATAAAATAAAAAAAACCATCTCATTTATTGTCTCCTAGACAATCAGTCATGAAGGAAAAGTTTGCCTGACGAGAAAGATCTTCATCTACTTGCAGAAGGACAGCAAAGATGTGGACAACCTGGCCTCCAGTGGGAGGGGGTGACTTCACTTAGGAGTAAATAGGCCAGGATTCTCATTGGGTCCAGATGCCCAGTGTTGGTGTCTAATGGATTCTCTCATTTTCTTTCTCTGTGTTAATATCTCTCCATAGATGCGGATGAATGTGCAATGTTTGGCCCTGAGGTCTGTCGTAACGGACATTGCGTGAACACAGTGCCTGGATATACTTGTTTCTGCCATGCTGGCTATACCTATGATACCAGTAGGCTTGAATGTGTTGGTGAGAAGCCACTTACTGGTCTTTTTTTTAAATGTTTTATAGAATAGTTCACACAATTTGTAGGGAGTGAATTATGCTTTTGGGGGAAAGTACGAGTATCAGGATAAACAAGGTGCTGCCTTTCATCCTTTACGCACTTGACGGGGGGGGGAACTTCCTTGTGAATTGCTGTCTAAGAGGGTCAAAGGTTAGTTTCCTCATTTGCTGTTATAAACTCTTTGCTGAATTCTTGTGGCTGCAGATCTAGACGAGTGTGAGAACAAAGATGCCTGTATAAATGGAAAGTGCCTCAACACTGCTGGTTCTTACCACTGCTTCTGTAGCCTCCCCCTCGTGCTGGATGCCATACGTAATCGCTGTGTCAACGTTTCCAACAATGCAGGTGGGTGCTGTTCCATCTGAGGCAAAATGGGCTCTAAGAAAGTATTTTAATAGCTCTGGCAAAGCACTAAAGATAGTTTGTTTAATTAAAACAGCAAGAATTAACACATAAGATGAAAGAGAAAAATATGAAATACATTACTGTAGCTCTGGAGCCAGTAGTTCATTCAGCCCAAAACAATTGTTCTGACCAGCAGAAGCTCCACGAAGAGATCTTTCACAGCTTCATTATCTTCAACAAATCAGTTCAAAGACTTGGCTTTCCTGCTTGCAGTCATGATGACCCTTTAAGCAGCCAGTGCTTCTGCTAGTCAGTGGATCATCTTTGTGTAGTATAACAGCAGGTTTTTAAAAAGGAACAATTTTGGTTTCCAATAGCCAGAATTTCTCATCCAGCATGGCTAGTAGGCATGGGATTTTCAGAATTTCAGGACCACAGCCCCCAGATGTCTACAGACATTCCTCCAGGCAGGAGTTCTGGGGACCTTAATCAAGAATTCAAAGTCCTGACAGTTATTCTTAAGTTCTTAACCTAATCAATTCAGACTCCAGCAGCCAATTTTGTCCTATGAATTCATTAAGAACTTAAAAAATGGTTGTTGCGGGTTTTTCGGGCTCTTGTTCTGAAGGTTGTTCTTCCTAATGTTTTGCCAGTCTCTGTGGCCCGAAAAACCCATAACAACCATTAGATCCCGGCCGTGAAAGCCTTCGCAAATACATTAAACTTGAAAAACACTTGTCTGAATTATGTTTTCTTGAATAACACCCCCATAAATATGGCTGGGAGGAATCCCTGCAGATTTATGGGGGATGCAGCCCATGAATATAGAAAATATTAGGCCTAATAATGGCCAACCTTTCTTCGTTGGTCTATTTCCTTTTCAAGACCTGTTAGTCCCCACGGTTACTATGTTGCAATGGTCTCTTCCCCAACCGGTATCATAGCAATTCCAAATTCTACCACAAAGCAAACATTTCAAACTCTGTAGAGATTATCGGAGGCCAACATTTTGGAAAAATGTGGCCCAGCAGAACAATTCAGTTGACACTGCATTTGCAGTCATCATACTTCCTTCTACGGTCTTCCCATTTGTTTCTCTGACAGATGATATGGATGAACTTGATATTCACCTGGATATCTGCTGGCAAAGAGTCTCCAACTATCTCTGTAGTGAGCCACTGCTGGGACACCGCACCACGTATACAGAATGCTGCTGCCGTTACGGAGAGGCCTGGAGTCAAGACTGTGCTCTCTGTCCCCCCAGGTCCTCTGGTAAGAAAATACCAGTCATGTGAAGTTGGTAGAAAAAAGGGCCAAATCTTCAACAGCTAGGCTTGGCACCAATTTAAATTTCCACTTGGTCAATGCATGCATGTGAGCAATGAGATCCTCCTTCCTTATGGAACCATCCTTTCCTGCTTCTGAACAATATCCCCCCAAGAGATTCTCTCCAAGAACTAAACGAGTCTCCAATAACAAGTCTGGACTCTGCTCATATTAGAACATGCTGTTAATACTTATTAACCTGTAAACCTGAAACAATGTAAGCATTTGTAGAGCTAATTTGCATCAGAGGCACACAGTGGCCCTATTTGCTCACAATGGTAAACTAGAATTCCACTGAGTTCTTGCTTGTTATCTGTACAGTTGTGTGGCTGTAGACACTGCACAGTCTTTCCTGCTTGGTTCTCCCACCAGTGGGAACAGCTATGTGATGTGATGCAGTCTGTGCTTTCTGGCCATTCTCTGTCTGGATCCTGCTTGCTGAAGGGGCCCCACTCACTTTTTTCCAGTCAGTTGATCAGCAGGACTGCATTTTCCCAGTTAAGTACCACTGGGACAAGATCACCAGAAGCTAACAAGGCAGAAAAAAACAGAGAGTTACATTTAAAATGGAATTCTTGGTTTATTGCTCCCTTAACAAGCCAGATTTGTTTATGACTTATATATCACTCCATAGTGCTTGGAGCAGTTTACAATATAATTATTGAAAGAACAGTTTTCTCCCCAACCCCTTAAGCAGGGTACTATTTTACTAACTTCAGAGGGATGGAGGGCAGAGTCACCTTGAGCCAGCTACCTGAATCTGTCGGGATCAAACACAGGTTGTGAGCAGAGGCTTGACTGCAATATTGCAGTTTAACCGCTGTGCACCAGGGCTCACTGTTCATATTTGGCTTTTGATTCCTTTCTGGGAATCCTAGCAGATGAAATGCTTAGTTTTTGCATCCTCGGTTTCCGCTAGTGGGAAGAGCCAAGCAGGAATAATTTTCCACCTTACATGAGCACAGAGCTCAGAGATTACAAACCAAGAGTTTCCTGAATTCTGGTTTATCATTTTGTGTGAATGCATCCAGTGACCCATTCTGTCTGGTCTATTTCATAAATCTAAATTTGTCTTATCCCAGCAGCCTCCTGATGAGAATCTCAGTTTCCTTGATCTGAGTGGTCTCTCAAGAGGTGTCTTGCATCTCAAAAAAAATAAAAATAAAAAAAAAAATAAAAAAAAGAGAGAGAGAGAGGGAGAGGGAGACAGAGGGAGAGAGAAGCTTTTCCTGGAACACAAGATAAATTGTTCCACTAGCCAACAGAAGATATGCTGAAGATTAGAATGTTCTCCCAACCCACCACCTTCTAAATGTGGTGGACTGCAGCCTTATTAGACTGAAGCACAGCATGCCATGCTAACTGAGGATGATGGGAGATTGAGTCCAACATATTTGAAAGGCACCAGGTTAGGAAACGCTGCTGAAGAACCTCTGTGTAGTTGATGCATCTGGCGATGTCTAGCGGACTCTTTAACTTTGGCCTATCTTAATGAGTTCCTGGTCTTTTGGGCACCATTTGCCATCCAAGCCTCCTTATAGTAAGCTGACTTTATCAACTGGTTTCAGGGATATTAGTAATCTACCCTTCAAGTGTAAACATTTCAGGTTGGTTTATAATAATTAAAACTGAAACCAGAACAATAAAATCAAGATTTAACAGTACAGTAGAACTAACAGCAGCTTCAGGATATAAGATATAAGAATACTATATTCTAAAAACTGAGGAAGATTCAAAGGTTGTGGCCAAATACCAAAGATTCATACCTGGCAATGAAAAAACGTCAGCCCACAGCCATGTCTCTTAAGGAAGGGGATTCCATAACAACAGCAGCATGGCAAAAATGTCCCCATCGCCCATTTACTTTCCACCATGCATTTGAAAAGGCAGAGGGATGTGAAGAAAGGCCTCTGTCAATTGGCACAACACAGTACCTGCACAGCTTCATGCAAGAGAAGATTGTCCCCTTTTTCTCTGTTTCTCTTTCTAGAGGATTTTGTTCAACTGTGCAATGTTGCCAGGAGTGAGGCCGGGCTCCGAGAAAGGCCTGGCTATGAATATGGGCCAAATCAGGAAGACCATCAGTATGGACTCTATAACCCAGATTTAGAGTCATATTACAACCACCTGGGCCTTGAATATGGAACCCCAGAAAGCAGCCTCTCCAACAGAGAACAAAGCAATGAATTTGAAGATGTTGCTTCCCAGCAAGCATCACAACACCAACTAGTACAGACACAGCCTCGCTATGTGCCTGGGCAGCTTGGTGAGTAGCAGGAAAGCCAAAAATAAAACAGAACAAAAAGTATTATTTGGTTCAGCTGTTGCCCAGGAATGTGCTACAAAGAAACGAAATCATAGGTGAATATTTCCACAGTCTCCTCTTAAAGGTTCTTTAAGCTGGTGTCCACATTATCATGTTTCTCCGATTCAGAAACTGGGTCTCCCATATACAGATTGTGGTGGGTGGCAGAACTGACCCACACAGAGGCAAAGAGTGGATTCTAGCATAGAAGAGAGACCCTTCCAATTAAGTATGCAGCAAAGTATTTTTCAGTTGCTTGCTGAAGCTTGTCGCTTTCAGCTCAAGCAAAGGTACAGGGAAACAAGCTGTCTTTGCAGCTAGGTGTACAAAAAGGGAAGAGAAACGACTAGTCAAACAGGAAGCCCATTTGATTTGTTTGGTCCCTGTAAAGAACGATACATATGAAAGCCAGCTTTTGCATGTAGATTTTGTTCCTGGTAGAAGTGAGGAAAGTGGGTGAAAAGAATGGGGAAATCGTGTTTGTTGTCTGTTCCATGTCTCTCCTCTTTTTTAAAAAAAAACAACCACCACCACCATGTGCATTCTTAGTGCGTAAAAGCGCAATGTTTTGCTCAGTATTTATTTTTAAAGGTATATAAGCACATTTTCTAAGACATAAAATCTAAGTATTTGTTGTATCTGTTTGAAAGAAAAAACCCTCATGTGGCTTCCTCTCCCAGAATGGGTTCTGGACAGTTTGTCTCCGTACTGCTCCCTACAGGCTTAATTTTCCCTTGTCTCCTTAGGCTACAGCAGTTTCGAGGGGCTGCAAGCAGAAGAGTGTGGAATCCTGAATGGTTGCGACAATGGCCGTTGTGTCCGTGTGCAGGAGGGATACACTTGTGACTGTTTTGATGGCTTCCGGTTAGATTTGATCCTCATGGCCTGTGTGGGTAAGTGGCTCAATACGAGAAAATAGGCTAGACTTTGCAGAATAAAGAAACAGCTTAGCATAGTGGCTAAAAGATGGAGATACAGATCAGGAAATCTCCAGGACAAATCTCACCTCCATCATAAGACTCAAAAGGTGCCTTTAGGGGTCTCCTTTATTTCTGTGTCTCAATCCCTCCATCTGACATAGAGTGCATACCTTATAGGAATATTATGAGGACTAAAGCTAACAGATATGAACCACTTTGAAGTAGCCAAAAACAGAATTTTAGAAGAGAGAGAGGGTGGGCTAAAATTCTCGCAGTACGCCAGCCATTGTAGCAAAGAGCAGATTCTGACAGCCACAATCCACCTCCAAGACTAATGTATAGCATTTCACTTTCTTCAGAGCATGATAAGCCATCTTTGCTTTTTCAGAATCCCTCTTGCTAATTCTGCAAAAAGCAGCCCTGGCAGAACCTTACCCTGACAGCACACCAACAGACGTAGAGCTTTTGCACGCTAGTAGTTTGTGACCCAGCAGGAAGCCAGGCTCGTATACGTATGATATAGGGAGAGAGCCTGCCAAATGGAACCGAGACCTTACCATGGCTGCTCTCATGTGCAGTTAGCAATTTGTTTAAAGCAGGCCCCAAATTGAAAGCACGGGTCAAAAGGAATGCGGAACAAGTTTTGCTGAATCAGAGGACTATTTTCTCTCATTTCTTCTGCCCCGACAGATGTTAATGAGTGTGAGGAAGCAAATGCCTCTGGGACCCTGTGTGAAGGCAGCATCTGTGAGAATACAGAGGGCTCCTATCGCTGCAAATGCTTGCCTGGCTACATGGCTTTGGCGGAGCCTCATCACTGTGTGCCTGAAAGCACTCAGAATCCAGAGGCAGCGTGACTCCCAAAGCAGTGATGGAACAATGGCAACACTTTCAACCATTTGCTTTGAGAACTGGAGGTCCATCCAGCTGGAAGAGAATTACTGGGAGTTCAGAAGCTTTAAAAATCCTTTGATTGCTTCCCAAAGAAAAGAAAAACTCAACAGAACCACCTTCCACTTCCATTAACAGTGCGAACACTCAGGGCCCAGTCCTCTTACTCCATGCTTTCTGATAAATTGTTGTACCCATTTTTATCAAACATTTTGGCCTCCAGATACTAACTCACATTGTGTGGGCCAACAGTATGTCCATCCCCATTCATCTTTCTCTGCCCTTCAATCCATACCATGAACTTGCAGGACCTGGTGCTCCATAAATAAGGCCTTGTGAGCATTATCTCTATGTACAATAATTATTCCTCTCAGTGAACCCACATTGTAGAGACTATTGTTACTCTTCACACACTCACCATATCTAATTTTACATGTGTTTATTCCATCCACAGCAACTCTCTTAAAAACAGCCTAGTCACATGATTAGTTGGTCATGTAACTAGAAAAAGCCGGATCCTTCCAGCTTTGTGTACTAAATGGGCAGCATCTCACCAGCAACCGCTGCTGTCCAACTATGGTGCATTCTTTCTACAGTGGCTGAAAAACATTCCCATTACTACACTGACTGAAAAATACTCCCATTCCCCAAATATAAGAATCTCAACTTTTATTCTGCTCAATCTGCCTGAATCCTGTTAACATTCCCTTTCATGAGCAAGACAAGGGGCAGCATCCAAACTGGCCATCTTCAGAACATATGGCTTCTAGCTATCATCTTGCAGTAGCCTGGACTCCAGAAGCCTTTTTGGCTCTGTCTTTCTGTATTCATTCCAAGCCACGGCTGTCCACCACTGTACTTTCCGTCACTACTGGAGTATTAGTTTGTGGAACAAAATGGATTACAGATCTTTAATTTTGGGAAGTGGTCTCAGTGGAGCTTTTTATTGGGGAGAATACAACATGATGTCAAATAAATGGTTTTATAATATGCCTTATGGGTTATAGACGGGTTGGTTCTTGTCTTCTTTCCAGGCCAATCACTGGGAGCCAATGGGATGAGGCAGATAAAGGCCAGACATTGCTAATTTAGTGGAAAAGGAAGAACAGAGCTAGTTTGCATGTGTCACCCATGATAAATCGATTACAAAGGAACATTCTGCTTTTTTACCTTATTTTCAATAAAATCATTTGGTATAATTTTCATCAACACTTCAAGAACTATATAACCGGTGGCAGGAGCAAAGAAAGAAGATGCTCTATAATTTTCTTCTGAAATGCACTTCACACAGTAGACAGCAAAGTCAAAACAGTTAACTAGGTGACATCCAGCCAGAGGAACTTCAAATCCCTTCAGTAATCTCCAGTTGTAGAAAGCAGGACACAAGTGGCTCCTACAAAGTAAATGCTTCACCATCCTCAAACAAGTCAGACAGATGTTGAATGACATAGGTTTATTAAAAGAATGTTACAAAAACAGTCTGGATTTGGAGAACACTTCCCCAACAACTCCAGGTAAGTGACACAATAGTGCAAAACGGTTAATACAAAAGATCTCAGCACAAGAGACCAAATACCAGTTGGTCTGGCATCTACAGAAAGGATAATTTTCCTTCATTGCAGCAAATAGCCACAAAAGGTGCTTATTAATTTCCTTTTGGCTCCAGATGACAAATATAAATCTATGGAAAGTTTAGGTCATGATAGAGCAGGGGAAGGGGTTGGGGAAAGAGAAAGCAGATGGAAGTGCAGCCAGCATCTGACCGTGAGAGGCACTGAGTGTTGACAAGCAGCAATTATCCTGGTACTTGTTGGCCCAGCTTTCTTACAGAAGAAAGACTTTTTAGGATGCACCTTCTATTTGGAGCCATCAAAACCCTCCAGACATCACTTCTGTCAATGGTTGCATAAATGTTTGCCCTGAGCTACAGTGAGGCTTCCCCCAATGTCTCATCCCTTTGGGGTAGACTGGTTGTGATCACCAACCCCTTGCTACATTTTATTTTGACTCTCTGGGGGAGAACCAGAAATGTTGCACAGATGCTAGAGGAACTGAAACAAGAAATGCTTTGTACAGCAAAGCACTTGACTCCTTGCTACACCCAACCCCCTTTAATCCCTCCCCCAGAAACCACAAGGGCTAAGCACGGTGGCTTTAACTGGTGATCTGGACAGGGATCTTCAAGCAGAACAAAGGCTGGCCTTGGTCATCGAGCAGCTCCCATTTAACAACTAGTTTAATCTGTAAAAAAATGAAATAAGCAAAGTGTGAGAGGAGTTTATTCTTATTCATTCAAACCTTAAAGGACTTTTTTGCTGCAAGGGAACGGAGAGGAAAATTGCTAGGCCTTAAACTCGGGTTGCAATCAGAATGGGTTTCACACCTTTCTCATCTATTTCATTTCTTTCCAACCTTTCTCCAGAATTCAAGGCTTACTACACTACACTACACTACACCAGAAGGTTTTACTACTAAAGAACACACACTACATTTTCTCGTTCAATCAAAGGATTTTTTTTCATACTTTCTTTAATACAACCTTCAAGATAGAACTACAGCCCAATTCAGGCATTCACCAAAATGCATTTAGAGCTAAACAGGTAATAGGAGACGTGGGTACGCACTTTAGTCTTGTCCTCTGAATGTCCCTCAGTCATATCATAGACCTTAATATATTAAAATTTGAAAATCTGCAGAGGTCTTTGTTGCTTTATTTGGCTGAATGTAATTACAGAATTTCAATTATCAGGTATCCTGCATTATCACGTATCACATGTAATTCTACATACGTCAAGAGAGTAGATGAGTAAGCTTTTACATCTATGGACAAAGAGATAATGTATTTGAGCCCTCATTGTATTCTCCACAAAAGAAAGCAGCCCTTATTACCAAAGCTGAAAAAGTGGACTTGTCCATGAAAGTTCACACTAAAATACAGCAATTAGTTTTTAAGGTGCCACAACATTTTGTCTATTTTTTCATTTTTGTTTTGTTTTCGCCTGACACATTTTAGTCAAACGTTCCTTCTAACACCTTGGTTTTCGTGTGTACAAGAAAGTTTTCATCCATAATGGCAACTTTATATCATGTGAAACCTTTCTGAAATTTTACAGTCCAGAGGTGTCCGTATCTTGTTTCTGAGACATGATGAAACCACCAACCCTTCCAATCTAGCCCATAAGTCATGCATCCCTCCAAACACACCCACCAGCCCAAAACAATGGACAATTGGACGCTCCAGGTAGCTCTCTCTATCCCCTTGAGCATCCTGTTTCAAAGAAGGCATAAAGGAATGTAAAAGACCACTGTAACTATCAGAATCGACCTGGTAAGACACTCACCGATGGGTACTCGCTCTTCACTGGCAGCTTGTTCAGGTAGCTGTACGAATGGTCCTTCTGAATAGGGCAACTGATCCCAGACTTGCACCCATCAGGCTGATCAAGTGGGAAGGGAATATCCACATGGAGCATTTCTCCATACACTTTAGCTTGGCTGCCCTGGCTGTCAATCTCTGCAGGAGAATAAAACAGATGAACAAAATCAGAGTCATTGCCAATGCACTTAGGGAACTTTCGCTGGGGTAGGAAATAAGAGTTCTTAGGTTACATAAGTGCCCCCTCTCTCTTTCATATCAAAATCATTGTGCATTAAACACATTCCCACTTTATCTGTCTGCAGCATAGCAAATGCTAGTCTTTATCCTCTCCCATTCCTTAACAGAATAACTGTACTGTAGTTATTCAGTTGAAGAGCACATGCTTTTGTATGTAAAAAGTACTGCACCAGATTCAATCTTTGGCATTTTCAGAGTAAGTCTGGCAAAAACCCGTATCTGAAAGCCTGGAGATCTGTTGCCAGCTATCGCAGGCAACAATGAATTTGATGGACAAACAGAAAGTGCTTTCCATGTTCTGCTACATTTAAGCCTCCACCTCCTCCCTACTTTTTTTTAAAATACAGAAGACACTTGGTTTAGGGGGAAAAGACAAAACCTGTATGTCGATAATGGTGTGCAGTAACTGCACCGGTGTCTCTTTCATCACCCACACATGTGAGAAACCATTCATTAGCAGCTTTCTGTATATAGCAAAAGAGGCACATTTGAAATTGCTACAGACAGCAATCTACACATTATCTTCACGGTTTTTCTTATGCTAATGTATTTTCTATGAAAGCAATCTAGGATAATGGTATCACTTCAATTTGGAATGAACACAAACACTTTTAAAAAGCTTCAGTCTAAAAGACATTAGTCATCAACAGGATATACACTTACTGCTAGAAAAGGTGACATTGACACTATAGGAGTCTCCTTTGTGGAGAACACAAGGTTCTGAAGGACAAGGAGTCACGCTGACCTCTGTAATACTTCCATCTTTGGAACCTGTGAGGGAGGAAAGAAACAAATAAATCCATAATTTAATGTCTTTGCTAATCAAGACAGTACATTGGATGCAACACTACCCATTGCTGCCACTGATTAAGGTCCAGAGTATCATACTGAGAACCTATAAACACTTACATCTGTTCAAATGTTAGTTGAAAAATATCTGTCATCCATAAAGTTTCCTCACAGAAACAAACAGGTTCCTTAGGTACATGAGGTGTCACAGAAGCTCAACGCTGATGTTGACCTTAAAAACATTCAGTTTTTAATCTACTGATCAGGCTTACAATATTAAGTTAGAATGCAGATGAATGCAAGTCCTTTCTGGATAATGTCACTAATTTTCTACCAAAATATGTCCTGTGAGAGTCCATGACCTTTAAAAATCCCTAGAGAGCTGAAAATGGGAAATGTAAAGTGTCCGTCTTGGACCTAAGAAGTGGCTGCTCACCTTTTCTTGAGAGGGAGGAATTTAATGACATAGACTAGACTGCAGTTTAGTGTGTGAAGCTACAAGTGTTGTGGTTATATAACTTGGCCTGATTCTGCATTAGGCATACAATCCCAGCACTAAACACACTGCTTGGAAATAAGCTTCGCTGAAAACAAAGAGGATTTACTTCCATTTCAAGGGATGCATACTTTTACAGCTCAAGACTATGTGTGTCTGCACAGAAGGCAGTCCCACTGGTGTTCTGTGTGGCTTTCTTTTGGCTTAATTTGACAGGACTGAAGCTCTGGTTATTTAGATAAAGCTTTCAATCTCTAGCATTAAAGCAACAGAAACTCACCTCAAAACAGCAAACATCTCTACTGGGGCAAGGCCTGGAAAATACAGTGGGAACTATTTCCTCACCCAAAATATATTTTCCCAAAATATCAATTCACATCTTTTGAAACAAACAAATATAGTATGCTATATGTACATTGAACTGCTGGATAGTTCATTGTTTTAGGTCTCTGACTGCACAGCCAGAGGTTCCCTACTGTGCCTCCTTGACAGGGCTGGACTTGATGATCCATAGGGTCCCTTCCAACTCTGCAGTTCTAAGATGATGATGATAATTATGGTAGCAGTTGCACAGCAACTATATATATTCCCACTGCGGTGTAGTGGACAGACCAATTTATTTATTTAATTTATATCCCACCCATCTAGACTGAAGTCTACTCTGGCCAGCTAAAAACACTAAGAATAATAAAATAAATTAAAACAATAACATTAATACAACTGAAGATGGTAAAATAAATTAGGTACTGACAAGAGGGAAGGCCTGGCTAAAGAGCCAGGTCTTAAGTTGGCTCTTAAACACACCTAGTGAGGGAGCCAGACAAATTTCTGGGGGAAGATTGTTCCAAAGGCGAGTGGCCACTGCCAAGAGGGCCCGCTTTTTTGTTCTTTCTCTTCAGACTCCCCTCAGCGTTAGGCCCCTCAGTTGCCCATCTTGACTAAAGCAAATGATGGACTGTGGAGATCAGGGTTTGAATCCCCACTCAGCCATGGAAGCTCACTGGAGGAGTGGAGCACATAAAACCACTCCTTAAATAGTTCACTTACCTTGAAAGCCCTATAGGATCGCTATAAATAACTTCTGACTTGATAGCACATAACAAGTTGCACATTTTATCCTTCCCATAAGACTAAGTAGAGAAAATATTAACTTATGCATAAAAAACTGATTCCCCACATTCATTTCTGAGATGAGTGCTAAACTTGATCACTGAACCGAATTATTCCCACCTCTACAAACCATGCCCGCCTGTACATCCTACCTCTACATTTGGGCAGTTTCAGATCAGGTTCTGTTTCCTGCTTGTGTAGAAGTGTACAAAATATAGTGAATTGGCCTTTAGAATTTACAATTAGTCTTGAAGAGTGTTTTGTACAGCACCATGGTAGACTTCCCCTCTTTGCTTTACAAGCTGTACTCAGTATACTAACTGCAAATATACTTTCAAGTGTGAATCAGCCCAGTGACCTGCTTACGATGGCTTTTGTCCTCACATGACTAGTGATGCATTAATTCTTCACTGCTAGCTTCAGGACTTTCTGCAGCCTTTAATGTAAATATAGCAGGAAGTTGTGGCCTTATTAAACTGCTGAATATAATTTTAAATTAGTAATAAATATAACAGTCCGCCTGTCCAGAGACAGAATGAAATAGGCAGATATACTGTATCTGGGTTTATGTAGCTCTCCTCACAAGGAAGCACCATTGAGTTTAATAGTATTTTCTCTCCAGTAAAGGTACTTTGGGTTGCAGCTTTACAGTACAATCCTCTGCATGTTTACACACAAGTAAGTCCCTCTGTGTCTAGTGGGGTTTATTCCCTATTAAGTCTTTTTAGAGCTGCCTAGAGCCTTATAAGGAAGGGACGTGGTGGCGCTGCAAGTTAAACCACAGATGCCTTTGTGCTGCAAGGTCAGAAGACCTACAGTCATAAGATCGAATCCATGCAACGGAGTGAGCTCCCATCGCTTGTCCCAGCTCTTGCCAACCTAGCAGTTCGAAAGCATGCAAATGCAAATAGATAAATAGGTACCACCTCAGTGGGAAGGTAACACCGTTCCATGTCTAGTCACGCTGGCCACGTGACCACAGAAGATTGTCTTCAGACAAACGCTGGCTCTACGGCTTGGAAACGGGGATGAGCCCCATGCCCTAGAGTTGGACATGACTGGACAAATTGTCAAGGAGAACCTTTACCTAGAGACTTATAATGCAATCATAGTATCCAATTATAATTATAGTTAGGCATGCTTCCAAGTAGCCCAAAGAAAAAGTTGGTGTCTGTAAAATCATAACAAAGCCCCATGAATATTATCCTGTATAATGGGGGAACAGCATATTAATGCTCATCAATGCTGCAATTTGTGGGACAGCAGACTTAAGATCAATGGCTATGCAGACACCTGTATACCATTACTGAAACACTATCCCACAAAGCATTTAACTGTTGATATAGGGGAAATTATCACCTATGTTCAATTAGTGATAATCACTTCTTTTAGTTGCTGTGACAGTCAGATAAACTGCCTTTCCCGCTGTGCATACTAATCTATGCAAAAGAGGATGCAGCTAAACTGCCATTCTATGCAATGCAAATAGACAATGCAAATAGTGTCCACCATATAAACCAGTTAAAAACCAAAGTATTCAACTCCCTTGATAACATCTGATAATAGTTTTGCCTGAGCAGAAACTGTCTCTGCTAATGAGAGCATGGGCACCTGATTTTCATCCACGCCCTGCATCCATTACCCAACACTATATCCCACAACTGCCTCATTCTGTCCCGGGCAGTCCCTAGGCCCTCGGGGATGAAAAGCTGGGCAGGGGCCTAAGTGGGTTAGGGATATCAGTAAACTGGAAGAAAAACTTTTTTCCAAGGCACAACTAGCAGTGCCTACAACAATTAAAATGGACCTTGAAGTTTTGGGGACATATCTCCTTAGAGAAATGGCGGGAGGAATCTTTTAGATGTGGTTGCTTTACATCATCCTTGACTGCTCGCCACACTGCCTGGGGCTAATAGGAATCACACAACTTATGGAGGACCACAGGTTCCGTAAGCCTGGAGTGGAAAATATGTGGTCCTCCTGAAGTTGCTAAACTGCAATTCCCATCAGGTCCAGCTAGTTCAGCAATAGCTGTGACTGCTGGGAGTTGCAATGAAGAAAGTACTTTGAGGGCCATGTTTTCCTGCAATGGACCATTCTAACTCTCATGATTTAAAAGGAAGACTTGCAATCACATTAACAGTCCTGGGGGGAGCTTCATTGATCACATTTTCCTACATCAAAATGCTATCTGTATAAGGAAGACAGTGGCTGAAATCCAGGTGAAAGTCACAACCAGAGTAGGCCCATTGAATCAGTGGAGATTCTGTGAGCCAATGACTACGTAGGTTTCTTTGATTCAGTGGGCCTATTATAGCTGAGGCTTACTACTGCACTTCAGACATTGTGTATGAGGTGGTGCTTGAACAAACCAAAGTAGGTATTTGAGCACTGCTGTGGTAAGGAAACAGAAGTTCTTCATTTCTGCAAAAGCCAGCCCAAAAGCTACTTTTTAAAAATCCTCTTCTGTAAAAACTAATGTTTTCTTGATCTTCCTCTGCCCAAGAAACAATCTGAATACAGAATTTAATGGCTGAAAACCAACAGTAAGTCACAACTGGAGTAGGCTTGTTGAATCAATGGAATTTAGGGTGGAACTGATTCACCAGATCACCACTGATTCAATGGGTCTGCTCTAGTTGCACCTGACTACTGGATGTCGGCAAATATATTAGTAATAATCCCTCCCAAAAAAGAGAGAGGAAAACAAGTATCATCTACTAACCAGCTTCCTGAATTTACCCCATGACGGACAAGATCTAAGAGGGAGGTCCTAATGGAAATAAGAACTAAAAGAAATAGAAATAATTATATTTACTTTGTATTAAGACATGAAACTGCTAAAAAGTATCACTACTTGGCAGGGAATCAACAGATTGCTCAGCAGTGAGGAGAAAAAGTTTTCTTCTGATACATTTAAGAGATATTCTAATATGTCTTGTGATACAGTTAAGATTCACACTTCTCAGAAGATACTGGTTAGACAAGAGTGACAATGTAAAACCAGTTTGAGGTGCAGCTTTGCAGTAAGATTGGGCAACACTGTCAAATTTAATATAAAGAACACTGTATAGCAACATAGTGTGTTGGTAGACTGTTTTTGTAATAAAGGAAAGTAATATAGTAACTAGACTCTCACAACTAGAACACAATGAATATTCATTGAATTTTGTACAGTATTAGCAAAAGAGGAAGGCTGATTACCCCAAAAAAGAGATAAATTTTTGGAAGGGGTATACAACATCGTAAATATTGGATTGAGAAGAGAAGAAGGGGATGACAGAGGACGAGATGGTTGGACAGTGTCATCGAAGCAACCAACATGAATTTGACCCAATTCCGGGAGGCAGTGGAGGACAGGAGGGCCTGGTGTGCTCTGGTCCATGGGGTCACAAAGAGTCGGACATGACTAAACAACAACTAGTTGTTGTCTGTTAACTTGTTAAGTGGTACTATGTAAATAGTGTGATTTTCTTTCTTTTTTTACTTTGTATTTCTTTTTCAAATTACTTGTTTATTCTTTTGTTTTGTGTAGTATTAATAAAATTTAAAAAAAATATAAAAGCTAGAACACTGGAGCATGTTGCTCAAATTTCCCACTCACTATTTGTGAACAAATATAAATCTGGATGTTT